GAGCAGGGAGCCCGATGTGGGACCCGATCCCAGGACCCTGGGATCATGACCTGAGCCGAAGGCAGACGCTTAACGACTGAGCCACCCAGGCGCCCATAAATAAATAAAATCTTAAAAAAAAAACAAAACTTGTTACGAGTCATTTAACATATTCTCCCTGGGAAGGCAGAGAATTTAATAAGCATGACTCCAGTAAGCTCTACTGTTCTATCTTGTATTTCTCCTGATTAAGGGGCTGGAAAGATTCTATTTGGCTATAAAATTCATTCTATTCAGAAGTCAAATTCATTCTCTTCTTCTCTCTCACTCCCAACTGTATGCCTAGATTTGAGAGTGGGTAAGGTGCTGTAATAACCTTCAGAAGTCTGAATGCAGCTGTCACTGAGCTTCATGGCCTACCAATAAACCTACTGCTGCAGGCGGGCTGTGTGAATGTCAAAGGCAAGCCACGGTCTTGAAATTATTTACAAATTTTGTCACTGTGAGGTGTTTTTTTTTTTGGTTTTTTGTTTTTTAAAAGAGTTACATAGCCTTAACATTAAAAAAAGAAAAGTTGAGGGGTACCTGGGTGGCTCAGTCAGTTAAGCGCCCGACTCTTGGTTTCAGTGCAGGATATGACCTCAGGGTTGTGAGATTGAGCCCAGCATTGGGTTCCCCACTCAGTGGGAAGTCTGCTTGAGACTCTCTCTCTCCCTCTCCCTTTGCCCCTCCACACCACCCCCTGCTGCTCACACGCACCCATGCTCTCTCTCTAAAATAAATAAATCTTAAAAAAAAAAAAATTAAATTTTGGCCCACAAGTCATTAAATAGCAAGTCCTAAGAGAATCATGTGCTTACTGTATTTCCAAAAGGTTCAAACTCCATCTATTACAGCGAAACAGTACTGTACCTGTCGAAACCTCTTTTTTATTTCTTCATCTGTCACTTCAGGATCTATCTGAAGAACCTGGAAGAATCAAAATCAAAACTGTAAAAGAAATTAAAATAATTTATGAATTTAACAGGTGTCTAATAATTATACAAATTATAATCAGCATCTAGAAGAGTACTCAGCATTCCAGAACAGTGCCTGGCACACAGTTCTAAAAAATGCTCAACAGGGTGCCTGGGTGGCTCAGTCAGTTGAGCGTCTGCCTTCGGCTCAGGTCATTATCCCGGGGTCCTGGAATCGAGTCCCACATCGGGCTCCTTGCTCTGCAGGGAGCCTGCTTCTCCCTCTCCTCCCCACTTGTGCTCTATCTCTGTCTCTCTCTCTCAAATAAATAAATAAAATCTAAAAAAAAAACACACTTTTTTTTTTAGTATTTATTTATTAGAGAGAGAGAGAGAGAGAACATGCACAAGTGGGGTGAGGAGCAGAGGGAGAGGGAGAGAAACAGA